TTCTTTGGTATTGGAATACACTCTCCTTCTCTTAAAGTTTGGATATCTCTCAGAATAAAAATCGATTTTGTTTATCAGATCCCTTTTCTTACGTTTTCTTTTTCAGAACTTTAGCAAACAATTAGTCCTAGTAGTATTTCTCCTGATTTCTGGAGATATTTTGGAGGCTCAGGGCGGACGGAAAAACCAGGAACGTCGTCTAAAAAGGCTACTGCGCCTTCAGGCTTCATCGAGCGTCCCCCTTGCGAACGACGCGCCGGCTGCGGGCTCTGATGGCGATTCCACGAAGGTGATACGGCAACTACAGAGCACGGTGGGGACCTTGGGCAGGCAACTTATCATGCAGCAGCTGTTTGTAGAGGAAAGAATACGGTCTGAGGGGAGTTCGGGGATAAAACAGATCAGACTTCAGACGGACGGTGAGTTTTGGGATCTTAGTTTAACTTTATGATCCAGTGCAAATAAGCATGGTTTTAAAGAAATGCTGTTTTGAAGAAATTAGCAGTGCACCTTTGCTTGCTTTGCATGGTCGGTGAAATACTTTGCCCATAGCGAAGTGTTGAAAACCGGTGTTTAAAAATTATCATATGAATATCATTACATAAAAAAATTCCCGTAGTTGATACGACCGCTAGAGCGTGATCCCTTCATTACGCGATGCTGGGCCTGTTTGCACCAACCGGTCGTAAGAAAGGCGTACATGTAGCAGTTGCGCCGGCGTAAATCGAGCGCAAAATGCCACGCCCAAGAAAAGCCAGTTGCACCAAACTAGAATAGTTTTTACGTCGGTCTTAACTTAATTTACGCCTGACACCTAGGTGGTGTAAGTCTGTCGTAGCTCGTTTTCCACTATGGCTAGGCAAGCACAGAGAGAGTTTGATGACAATTATCCTGGTTAACGTAGAAAATGTGGGTTGTTATTTGCTTTTTCTTACACAAAACTTCCGTCTGTATACATGTAACTGAGCAGTAGCTTGGTTTTAAAATGTGTGTGTGTGTGTGTGTGTGTGTGTGTGTGTGTGTGATTACTAAATACGTTATTGATGTAGCCTTCTTATTATAAATTTATGTTTGTTGAAATAAGATGAGGAAATTGTGAGCTGATGTCGGTAATGTTAACAAATGCTTATGTAACATTTTTAATATGGTAGGAGTACATAGGAGTAGCCATGTACATGTATTTGCGTATGTATATGTTTAAATTAAATCTTACCATTCATGTCGATACGTCTTGGCTCTCAGCAGTACGGTTTCTTTCATTCTTTTCATAATTTTGACAAACCATAACTAACCACAGTCATATTTTCTTCACATTTTAAATTATTCATATTTTACTATATATAAACATAGAGACGAGAGCTTAGAATATCAACATTTTGAGGCTCATATGATATGTATTAGGTCTCTTGTATTTCTTAAGCCCCCGTCACACTTATTCGGAATCAGCAGGAATCAAGCAGAATGAGCCTGAATGAAGAATTTTCAAAATTCGCACCACATTCTGGAAAAAAGTTCAAATTGACCTTAATTATTGTAAGAGTACCGTCGGAATACTCAGAATGCGCTTGAATTTGAATTCGCCTGGAATGATTAGTGCACTTTCGGCTGTATTACATGAAGCTCTCAAATGCAGTTCGAATGTAGTTGGAAAACTAGGAATATCTATAATGCTGTCAGAAGGAAGTCAGAATATTTTGAAAATACTTTGAATGGCGTACTACTGTAGTTCGATTGCTGGCTAAATTAATATATCAGCTCATTCGAGGCACATTCGAAACATTCCGGCTGGATTTTCTACCCCCGTCACACTAGAGGCGGAATGATCAAGAATGGCGTCGGAAATACAATTCTTTGTGCATTCCTGGATATTCGAAGAGCATTCCGAAAATTCCGAGTGCATTCCAAATATTTTTACCCATTCTTGTGGCCGGCTCGAATGTTTTGCTCATGTCAAAAACTTTCGAAGTGCATTCCAAGTGGAAAATTATCTAATGGCATTTGAACAGTATTTTATCTGCACTATGACTGCATTCTAAATATTCTCAGGGCATTCCGACAGCATTCGAAACATTATGATCAGTTACCATTCCAGTGGCGTTATTTATACACTCTGGGTACCGTGTTACATTCTAAACATGTTAGAAAGTAATTTTGAGTATTTTAGGTATATCAGCTGCATTCTGTTTGAATTCTTTATATTTCAAACCATCATTGGCAGCCACAGCGGGAGCATTTGAGTTATCTTCGTATATCATTCGAGGCACCTTCTTACATACTTCGGCCAGCAATCAAAGCTCACTCGTATGGCATTTGAATTTCATTCGGACTGCATTCTAACAACATTCGCAATATTCCCTCCCGATTATGGCACGAATTTTTCAATTAATTCATTCCAGCTGGTTCTGCTTGATTCCTGCTGGTTCCGAATAAGTTTGACGGGGGCCTTAAGTCACGTGCCAGTTTGAATATCCCTCGAATGTGATCAGAATGTTCCGAATGTTGCCAGAATGCCGTGAGAATATTTAAAATGCAGTCATAGTGTAGTTAGAATACTATTCAAATGCCATTCAATAATTTTCCACTTGGAATGCACTTTAAAAGTTTTTTAATATTCGGGCCGACCACAAGAATGGGAAAAAATTGAAATGCACTTGGAATTTTTAGAATGCTCTTTGAATATCCAGGAATGCACAAGGAATTGTCTTTCCGACGGCATTCTTGCTCATTCTGCTTCTAGTGTGACGGGGGTATTAAACTACAAGGTGTAAGCTCGATTGAATTAAATGATACCTCACGGTGTAACCATAGATAAGAAATTGTCGACACTGTTGTAAAATTTTAAAAAGAAAGCAATGTTGACGTTAAAGGCGCAATTTTTGCATTATTTTTAGACTTAGAGGTTTCAATAACAAATGCGAAGGTGTCCAAATCTATTGATGGGAATACACACTGCCTCCAACGCGTTTTTCTCATTTACAACAGTTCTCAATCAATGAAAGATTTATTTTTTTAGCATACTATAATAATATTTTAATTTGGAATATATTTAAGATTTTATTGCTATATATTCAAGGTAACAGCAAAGTTAACATCTTTTAACGTTTTTATTTCTAAATCAAAATGGATTGATGTAGCTTATGAATTTCTCCGTCACTGAAATGGTCCTTTTGTGTTTATTTTTGTCATCATTCCATTGTGACTACAACTGCGAACTCCTCATTTGCCCAGTTATTGGGCAGTGAGGCAACGGAGCGTTACTCGGGCGTAGTTTAGACGATCATTTTTTGTCTTGGTGCAACGTGTGTAAGCAGGGAGAGTAAACCTGGCGCACGGACGCCAGGCGTTGCGGTTTACGACAGGCGTAGCCGAGTAAATTACGCCCTGTTGGTGCATCCGGGCCCTGGTGCGTTAAAGTCACTGAATTCTTTTATATTATGTGTTGATTATAACCCCTGTTTTGTCAAATACTCTAACAAGAAGAATCGCTTATGCCTTTCTTTCTCAGCAGAATCAACACCTAGCGCATAAAATATATGACCATGTATGAGAAACTGACATCCCGTCTTTACTGAAAAGTTACCTTAGAGCAACTTTGATTATTACAGTTTATATTACTGGAGACCGACTCCTATTTGCAGCATGCCTATGTCTTTTCCTGTAAATGGAAAGGATAATTTAAAGTAATCTCTTAAACATAGGGTGCTGAATAAGATAAACCATAGTGAAGGCAAAATAATGTATGGGTCATTCCACAAAAAAGGGAACATTTGAGTTCCGCCATTGACGCATACCTTTTATGTAATATCTGATCAATTGATTTTATCACTTTTATATTCTTTTTTATTTCTCTCCATATTGGAGGGATCAAACAGCAAAAATAATGGTGCAAGTTAAAATAACGAAAATATTGCATAAAATCTGTGCATCACTGGCGTGACTCAAATGTCCTCTTCTTTGCGGAAGAACCAGTATTTCATCTTTATCAAACATCAAGACATTCAAACCGCATTACTGTCATTTGAAACGTTCACCAGAGCTTCATTAACGCACAATTTGCGTATGCAGGGATTATCAATAAATCTATTAGCATGATTTGAGTATTTAGACCAACCACCAAAAGTCATTTAGAAGACGGAGAACTCAAAAATGGACACTCAAATTTTTACAGCTGATAATAGTGTTTGCTATGGTCTAGTTGAAGGGGCATTAGTTAATGCAGTAATATAAAATGGCCACAAAGCGTCGTAAATCAAAGAATAGAGGGCTACAATGGCATGATGGACAACACTTATCTTCATTTTATGGACTTCGTTTTGACGAAAGCCTTTATCGACGAGGCATCTTTGCGTCTTTTTTCTTTGTCAGACGCGGCGGTCTTCTTATTCGTTAACATTTTCAGGTATAAAACGACACATAAACCTTTTTAATTTATTAATCAATTTACTTTTTTTCGTTTGATAACTTTATTTTATATTTTGTTACTTATTTTTCTTATTTTTATTGCGCGCACGTGAAAGTATTTGTGTGCTTTGCAATACGACGCATCAGCTTAATAATTTATCTGAACAAAAATCCCACGAGCATTATTTTCGTTTTAACCTCGTGGATCTGCATTCTAATCCATCATCATTACACACTTAAAACTGTCCAAATAATTTCCTTAAATTTCCACAAAATGAGTTAACACCCGTCACGCTCTGAATATCATCATCATTTCCCCGAAAATTATATTTTCTTTACCTATATAAATTTAAATTTGCATAAACAGGTCATTCTAGGGTCGACAATATTGCTCTCCGGTTCTTGTGTTGTGTTGCCCTTTTTGCATGGAGATATGTTCGTGTGCATGTGCCCATGAGAGATTGAGATTGAGATTGATTTTAACATGTCACAAAACCAAATTTGTCTCTCCAGGCACGCGGCCGTACCACTCCACGACGTACACCGGTAACAGCGCCGTCAGTATTCATAACCATGCTAACTACGACCGAACCATAGGGATGGGAGAGTTTGCCGCCGTCTTGAACGGGGTGGAGTTCCGGACCAGGCATAACGATTACAAGTTCGTCATGCCATGCCGGAGAAGCAAAGATTTTCACTGCACAGAGGATATCCCTTTCCCTGATGTGCCACCAGAGGTACTGTTGGCATCGTTTTCTAATTTTGCAACAGTGTCAGAATATTTCAAGTGTGAAATAGTCTGTTTAGTTGTAATACAGATTTTTATTAGTAGCAATCTTTAGTTATCTATCTATCCAATCTTCTATTAATTTATTTATGCATTTGTGTTCGTGTTTTGCTATATTTGTATTTTTATTTTGTCGTCTCGTTTTTTAAAATATGTGAATTAATTGATTTGTTTGTTTGATTGTTTGCTTTATTAATTAATTTATTTATCTATCTATTAATAATTTTTATGATTCATTGCTTATTCGTTGTATAATTACCAACCATGTATGAATTAAGGTAAAGAATAAAGCCACGGTGCAGGAACAGATAGCGGAGATGAAGGAGTGGTTCAAAGCCTGGAAAAATCAAGACAAATCTCACAGAGATTACACTAAATACTTCAAAGCCAACCTTTGTTACTTAGAAGGAGCCTGGATGAAAAGCTCAGGTAATGGAAAATTATCTGCGAAAAATAATGAAGTACTCAGAAGCTGTGTCAGATGTAGAATCTGTGGGCCAGAATGTTACCAAATCCCCTATTCTTATTATCTATTATTTTGTTGTTTGTTTGTTTATTTCAAAAGAAAATATGTACTTAACGATATTAATTAAGCAAACAACATTAATTTGTGTCGCAGTCAAATCACTTAAAAACTGAAAGTCTTCGTATTTTTCACTCGCAGCACCTTTAGAAGAATCCTTCGACAGTGACCGCCACTTTTTGGACGCCACGGACTGGTTTGACCTGCACGAGAAGGCTCGCTTCAGCGCGTACTCTGGTCGCAAGGACAACCTTGAGAACTTTGCCTATCTTCCCGTCACCATTTCCGGTCTCATCAACGGCACGATTCCCGAGCTTGCGCAGTGGAATTACCGGATATTATGTCATCCTCTGAAGAAGGACATACCGTTCAGCCACTTCCGGACCGTGGACGACCTTCATTCCAGAATGGCCTACAAATCCAGCATGGCGCTACAAACCGGATCACAAAGAGCGAGGTAAGGCCAATTACGGAGACTGTATCCGGTAACACTTCATTTCAATAATTTTTATCTATCCATTTATAGATTTTCAGTATTGAATGAGGTTTAATAAATATTTTGTACAAGAAATAAATTTATCTTCTCATTCAAATATATCAGAAGATTTCATATTTGTAAAAATATGGATTAATTTTTGAAAAATATAATAAGTAATATAATTGAATGTACAGACTTGACATTTAATATGGAATATTTTCTTCATATTATAATTCATCATTTTTTTTCCTATTTTGCTGACTGATAAAGGAAAATAAGAATTAAAATCATGTTTTAAAAACTTTTGATAATCTGTTCGATGGCAATGTGACAGTTCATTAATTGAATTCGCCAGTGAAGCAAACAAAAAATACATTAACTATTTGAAGTCATACGACAACCATTGAAAGCGATATTTTGGATCTCCATATTTTACAAATTATCGTCTTTAAAAGAGTTACACGCCCCACAAAAAGCCCGCATGTCAGTGTCTAGTCACAGCAATGGTCGCTGTTACGCCAGACCTCATCTTGCTGCTTCAAGCGGCAAGGCGTGCCTTAGGATAGGTTTTTAGAGTTTAATCTGGAATAAAATTCCAGGCAACGGTTAAATCTTGTCCACTTTTGTTCAGTTTTGTTGTAGGACATGCAGGCCGTTGATTCGGCGAGTAATGACCTACCCATATATTGTCTATGTGGTTCAAATATGGCGATTTTGATGACCAAGGTAACTGCTCATTCCCTTGGTTCTGTAAGTTATCTGCTATTATAAGTGCTCTGTGTGAACCGGCAATCTCATCGTGCAACCTAAAATTGTTCCTAAGGTGCCCCCTATCATATGATGGTCAAGTGGTTCCCAGAGAATTCTTTTATTTGATCTGGTTCAGATTTTCATCGACGACCTCCATAAGTGTTTTGGCACCAATGTGGTATCCACTCCAAATAGTGACGCTGTCATTGACCCTAGTCACTTAAGAAGTGGCACACGCCTTGTCGTAGGCCTCTACATGATGTCTGTAAACTCTGTTTTGACCAGTTTAGCGGTACGGGTGAAATCTGACCTCAATAAAGAAAGCCACGCTGTTTCAGTGTTTTATCCAGAAACGGCCATGGTCCCCAATTCATTTGAGAAACACACTACGCTGTTTTGTTGTTTACAGTATCATCCTTAGAGGTTGCCTGATATCCTAACCTGCTGAAACAATTTTGGTGTTCGCTAAGAGCCTTGAAAAACGCGTTTTTGTGACAATTTGCCCCTCATTCAAAACGGACTAGGTGGTTTTGGTTTAATTGCAGCAGCATATCCTGGAGGACAGTGAGTCCTGTACCCTGGTGGTAAGATGTCGATACATTAGGCGTGGTCTCTGTGTAGGTGCATCAGTCTGGGCTTAACTCTATAAAACCGTGCAGACCATTCCGTTTGACACAATAATCTGTCTGGCAATGTCTGTCTCTTTCGCGCCATTCTGGCACACCTTAACAATTTTATAAATCACTGCTTAACTCATTTTACACACTGCAAAAACAACCGCTTACATGCAAAATTTCAAATTTTTCGATACAGTAGTTGCCGACATATGGATACTTTTTTGACAGAACCATGCTTCACCAAAGCCAAAGCTTTGATCGGCCCAAAGGAGCACTAGCCAATTAAATCACTGCATATTACACAATGCAGCAGTGCAACAGACTTGGCAGTCAGTTAATTGGTAGTAACACACCTGACTTCATACTTCTCCAGTCAGATATCTTATGTGAGATCTGAGTTTTTTGAAAAAAGAACGCTTTTTTTTACCTAAGTATACCTTTAATCTGAAATATTCCATATAAAATGTCAAGTCTGTATAATATAATAAAAACTATAAAAGTATAAATATAATTAATTGGATACACTTATAATTGTCTGGATCATCCATTAAAAAACTAAATTACAAAATATTTGAAAGGTTCCAACTAAACCCTGACAACCGCGGGTACTGGAGTGAAGAGAAGGCGTATCAGCGTAGTTTTCTGGACGAGCTGATGGAGCAGATCCCAGGCAAGGACAATTATCCAGCTAATATAACAGACGACATGTTTGGTTACACGGCCTTCGCCTTGGACCCAGACGAAGACGGCAACGACCGCGTGCTGAATGCCGGTTACTACCATCGTTGGTTTAAAGTCGCTAAAAGGGTGTGTTAATTCATCTTTGTTTTTTTTCCAAAATTACTCTATCGTCTTTTCTGTCGTTATCCAATCATTTCATTTTTATCCAAACTTTTAACATTTATATTGACCCATATTCATGACTTTTTCTTTAAAAATGAACTGCGTTCAAAAGTTTCCATTTTCGTGGTAAGTAAGTTAGAAACTCGTCCAACCATAACAAGGATTTTATTTATGCGTTTTTCCACTCGGTATTAGGGAGCAAACGGCTTAACACAGATGCATCGTAGCTACGCGGACCAGAACATCTTCATGGCTATGACAACACAAGAGAAAGTAGCCGGTCTAAGTATTAAAGATTGTAAACTAAGGAAGAAAAAGAGGAGAGGTAAGTAAAAAAATTAATTTTTATTTAATTTTTGACGATACAATTTTTTTCCATTTGGTCTCAGTATTCCATTCTGCCTACGAAAGCAAAAACAAGGTTTGATATGTACTGTATAATAATAACATAAGGTACACATTTCTTCAACCAATAACATTTTAAAACAGATATTGGAAACCGTATTCCTTTGAGAGCTAATAACTTAAATTAAGAATTGAATATAATAAAACTATGAATTAGCCTTAAAAGTGGACTTAAATTTTATACTGTGGGGATAAAGTTTTAAAAAATGGGTATTTGGGGAGGGATTTCAATTATATAAGAATGCAATTCAATAGTAAATCATCTGCATACGTTTTACGACAACAATTGAACCTCAGCTGAAAACAGTGCAGACCATCTCTAGAAATGATGTCTTGTGTTTGGACCTGTTCCTGTATTTCTAATTCGGTACTTTTAGTGTAAAATTTAAACGTTGTGCATTTATTGTTTCATACTAAACTGCCAGTAAGTTACATGCACATGCAAACGGAAGACTTGAGTTTCAGTTGTCCGACAGAAAGGAAGTATGATTTTAGATTGATAGGTTGTATTTTGTAGTGCAAGACTGCGGCGGAGTAGAACAGAAGTGGACCTATTCTATCCCCCTGGAGGTCGTGTATTCAACGCCTCAGCTTTCCTGGAACCCTTACAACCTGCACTTTAAAGGAGACGCCAAGTCCGACCTTGGGAAGACTGTGAGAGCAGGGCCAAACGGTAAGAACCGTGGGTGTAGAGAGGTGTCTGGTGAATTTTGGGCAAATTAAGTTGAACCAATTTAACCAGTATGCTGAAAGTCTTAAACTTCAAACCACCATTGCGGTTGGCTGATCCAGATGTTTTATGAAGACCATAAACTATGATCCGCTTATGCCCATTTATGCATTTATTTAAGCCCGGCTATAACCATTTTGTGCACGGAAATGGATAATTTCGCCCCCAGATTTCACAATCGTATATTTTATCATATACTGCCGATTATCTACTAGTATAATGCCTATATTTTTCTTTTCTGTTTTTAAAAAGGTTCTGTCCGTAGTGGAAAGAAGGAAGCCGACTCATCATTTAATGGTACCAACGCTGCCCTATACTACCAAACTCCAGTAGAGTTCTACACCAACGGGGACAAGGACGCTGCGGACACCGTGAGATATGGAGGCGTTGGAGTCTTGGACAGACAAGGTACAGTGATGATAAGAATTACAGTTATATTTTAACAACTTAAATTTAGTCTAAGGTCAACGCCGTGAGTTATTATCTTTTCTTGGAGTCCTGTACAGACAAGGTACAGTGATGAATAAAATTACAATTACACTTTAACAACTGAAGGTAACCTGTCACTTAGGCGTAGTCAGGCAAGTTACAGCAATGATTAGGATTACAGTTATACTTTAACCACTAAAATCTACTGTCGGGCCTACGCTTTGAGTTATAATCTACTCTTGGACCCCATTCCCACAGATTTTAGATCGATCTATCCCCGTGGGGAGTCTCACTAGATTACTGTCAGCTTAGCCGGCTTAAATGTCTGTCCCGCCTACTAAAAGCTGTAAGGTGGGTAATTAACTTCCGTGCGCGGTCGTCTGGTAGCGTAATTCGATCCAAAGTTAGCAGGCCTACAATAGGGTCTGGGAATGGTTTCTTGGAGTCCTGGACAGACAAGGTTGAATGGTGATTAAGATTACTGTTATCCTTGAGTTTGTTATTTTTTACATATTCGACATCTGAACATAAATTTTAGTCCATGAAATCTGATGGTCTTGACGTACCATACAGACAAGGTGTAAATTGAACACACTTTTTTCTAGGCGAAGTAAAATCGGTAGATGCCTCTGGTTTTCGAATTGAACTTAACATAAATGGTGTTGGTGAAATTCGTCAGAGATGGCCTATAATGCCCGTGTCGGTAGAGGGCAGCACCATCATGAAGGAGATCGAGGCACTAAAGGTATTATTTATTTATTTATTTATTTTGATTGGGATACTTTGGAAAGTAGTTTTTTTAAGACTTTGTCATGCACGACTGCCAACGGTTCTTTGTTTCTTTTGCTAAGTATCTCTGTAAGCTGAATGATTTCAAAACAGTGGTATTAATGCATGGAACATATACCGGAGGATTTTAATTATTGACAGCGTCTTAAACAAGACATTACCTATGACAAATATTTCTGCAATTTTCACCCATCCTTTCTTAATCTTCTTTCCATTTTCAAATATATGTGTGCTTTTCCCTGTCCATATAATTTATTATTTTCACGTGGTGAAAACTTCACCATTTATTTATTCATTTAATTATGTTTATAGGACATGGTCATGGAGCAGCGGAAGTACATCAGCTTGTACCGTGAATTACCGATTGCCCTGGCCTCTGATAATGCCACGGAATATGCTCCAACTCTGCGCGACATCGAGCTCGAAACAACGGTCGCCACGGAGGACCCGCCTGGCCCCCATACCCACATGTAAGTCTCAACCTCCCCCCCCCCCACCCCTGCCAACGGAGGTTATATGTTTAACAGCGTTGGTTTTTGGATGAGCTATTTGTATATTCTGCACTATATTTGTCGAAATTTTCTGAAATGACAGTTACTTAGGAGATAATGGGGGGAAAATAATTTTAACTAAATTTGGATTTCCTTATTATTTTCAGAGAATTTTAACTGCTTTATTGCTGGGGAGGGGGGTGCACCCTTGGGGGCCTCTAGTTAAAACATTTAATAACTTTGCGTTTTTAATGTATATTCATAAGTCGGGAAAGGGTTTAGTGTTAATATCGTTTCAAATTTACACGCGCTCGTTTTTAATAGGTAAAAATCATTGTAACTTTTTTTTATTGAAGGGTACGACTGACTGCTGACCACATCAAAATCATGAAAGACGATGGCCGCGCCGTCACTGTTATGACTTCAACAGACTTTGGGCATTTTCACCAGCTGAGGGTCAGATACGTTAAACGATGCGAATGCTTCCGCATATCTAAGTAAGTAAAGTGAGCTTTAAAAATTATTCATTTAACGTTTTTTTTCCACTGGGAGCGTAGCCTACGAGTGATCGAATTTTACTCATCTTCTAGTAAAAATAAGTTTTAACTAGTAGTTTGATGCAGCTGTGTTTTGATATTAAATGTCCACAAAAGAGAATGAACTTATTGAAAAGAACATCAGGGTAAATGTGTTATAGTTAACAATGACGATGTTATAATTTCTGGTATATCTTCTCGACGACGCCTATAGCCGAGTTTATTATTATTATTATTGTGTTAGGTGTGACAACCAAAGAGGCGGTTGCTGGGACGGACACTCAGTGGAGCTCATCCCTACGGCAGGCTAAAAAATGCGCATGCGTACAGACACCAACTAGTTCCTGAAAGTTGTCAGACAATCTGCAACATAGAAACAGTTCATGAATAACCCAGACACCAAATGTTTACCTTATAGTTTTATGTGTAAAAGAAGATCATATGATGGTTGTATTTATTTTATTTATCTATTCATCTTTTATGGGGGTAGCTTAGAAATGGAATTGGCAAGCACAAGTTTGGAATGATGTTTTATTTGTAGTTTAATTAAGATTTTGTTGCATCCATTGTCAGTCATTGCACGTTAGTAAACCGGTTTGAATAAATCCAGCTTTTACAAACTGTCTTCACCGTTGTTAATATAATGTGGTGCTTAAAAGAAGGCTTTGAAACCCTTTGAATAAAACATGTTGCTATGGTTTCCCCCTCGGCTTTTAAAGAGGATCCCATTGGGTATTTTTGCTACCCGTGAAAACCACATTATATTGAGTGAAACATTCATCTTTTTTAGCTTGATCCATGTGTCACCCCCTTCCCGTGACTTGTAAATGCGGCTTTATTTAACCTCGTCCTTCGGCAAAGAAGTCATTATACCGGTGATTCGTGATTTACAACTCGCCGGACTTGCATCTTCAATGAGATGCAATCTTCGCATTATGTAAACACCCCCATGTAAGGGGGGGGTCGGCAATTTCACCACTCTGGCGTTGCTGTTGCATCATTGAAATTTGCAAAGGGAGGGGGGGAAGGAATTTGTTTTCACTTTAAACTTTTCCTCTGATTTTGGTATTCTTTAACTCCGGTGCGTCGTATCCTGTAATTTGTGATTTTATTTAACTGCGATCACTAACTAATTCGTAAATAACTGACCGTGATGATAATGAAATTTCCAAAAATTTCTGGTAAATATCGACATTCATTCTTTATGTTTATTGTCATGGTAAGATGACGTCATATCTTTACAGTTTCAATATTTACTCTGCTACATGTTACTTCACTATCTGCAGAACTTATGTTTTTTTTTAATATAATACCCTAGACTATATAATAAGACACGAACTATTTCGTGGAAGAATTGCAGCGGGGATCTTAAAATAGCTATAAATATCAGATATATGTTATGGAGAATAAAAGCATAAGAGGCATTTCTGTGCCAAAATAATGCAACCTTTGTCATAAATGTCATACTAAGATATAGATATGCCATTCTGTGTGTTTGTAACTCAAGTGACGCGTAGTTCGTCTCTATTATCTGGAAAATAACATCAAAATGTCTCTTTGGAATGCCAGATCCGTGGTTGACAAGGTGACCCA